CATATCTCTCTCGTTACAACTCCGATTCGAGCCCACTACGTGTCTACGAACTCATCTCACCGTGCTCTACGCAACGGTACAACCGGAATTCCCAAATTCCTTCCGGATAATAAAATGACCAAAATACCCTTATCCCACGGGTAATTTCTCAATTCCACTTAAATTAATTAAACGTGGGATAAATTTGGGGTCGGGGTGTTACATATAATATTAATATAAAGCATAGAAAAACTAATAAATTATACTTCATAATAAGTCAGATCATATAATTATCGGATCGGATAAACTATAATCCATATTTGAATCCATTTATAATCGGATTACCGGATTCGGATTATATTCGGATTATCGGATTGAGAAGTCTAATCCATCTTCTATTAAATACACAGGATTCAGAGTATCGATAGTTTTCACAATAGGTAAATGATCAACTCATAACGTATATATACTACTCTAATTCAAAAGTACCATAAAGTTGGCTCCACCTTCGTCCCCCGTCATATCTTATGTACTTAAAATGATTGGAGTATTGCAAAAGTGTGTTAGGGTAGTTGCTCATGGGGTGAACTCGGACTCTTGCACCCAAGTTCGAATCCTCCTTCTAGAAGATTAGATTGAATTATAATAGTTTAGACTATGGGTTGTGTTAAAAAAAATGATGACAATATTAACATTTCATTTACATACTTCAACAAATAAAGGGCATAGCCCTAGTGGGTAATGGCCGTGTCCAAACCCAGTATTAGAACAAGCGAACTCAACTTAAAAGAGTTCGATTTGGGCTTTACTTTTGAGCCCAGTCTTGACCCAATACTATTCCTCTCCCATGATCCCTATCCTATTTTTTGTAAAAAACAAACCAGTGCAGCCCTCATTGTAGCCGGTAATTCTCTCAAAACTAATCCCTATATATTCTCCGTTTCTCAACAAGGAAAGAGCATGTTCATCTTTCAGCTGATCATGCCGGAGAGGTGTTTAGTTAAACAATATTTAGAAGCAAGCTCGATCAATCACCTGTAAATAAGAAGCGCACTAAAGTGCTTAACATCACTCGACATATACCCTCGAATATCAATCTTGAAACTTGTTAATTATAACTTATGTTTACACCATAATTAACCAAGCGTGATTGAGCACCAAGGTAGACATGTCTTCCTCCCTGCCAAAGGGAGATGTTCTTCCGAGGGGACAACCACCTGCCGAAGCTCCGAACTGCCAAACCTAAAACACAGGAGACACGTGTCATCATCACAGCAACTTGCACAAAGTCCCACATCGGAACTTTGTGCAAACCTCCTACCTTTACTTCCCTATAAATAGGAACAGTAACCAAGAAAATGGTAACTTTTCTCTCCCACTATTACTGCTACTTTGCAATAGTCACTCACCCTAGCTGACTCAGGCATCGGAGAGCCTTCGGCCGGCACCACACCGGTGTCCGAAGCTTACGATTGCTTCTCCTATCTTTGTCTTTTG